TCAGGGTTTGGAAAACTACAGCTTAAGGGCCAAATCTGGCCCTCAGACTGTTTTTATGTTGGGCCCTTGAGCTAAGAATAGCTTTTGCTTTTCAGAGGTTTGCAAAAAAATGAAATAAATAAGAATAATACGCAACAGAGACAAAGCCTAAAATACACATTATCAGGCCCTTTATAGAAAATGTTGCTGATCCCTGCTACAGCATAACTGAACATAACTGTGTAAGCCAAAACAAAACCACAAAGGAACCAACCAACCCTCAGAATTGTGAGAAATATCAAACATATATTTTTAATACATGGGAGAGTTTGTTCTACTGCAATGGGTAACTGAATCATAAGCTGCTAAATGCTACACAATGAACAAAGAGACTGCCTCAAAGGAAATAATCTTTAAAAGGTTTGGGACCTTTTCTTCTCACTCATTTAATTTAGGTGGATTTCTTATCCCAATCTGGCTGTCCATGGCTCTGTTTTTCATTCTAGGGAGATTTTGGCAGCTATAAGCACACATACATACTAGTTATTCATGGTACATTCAAAATATTTTTAGAGCAAGTATTGGGGGACACCTGGCTGGCTCAGTCAGCACAGCATGTGACTCTTGATCTCAGGGTTGTGAGTTCGAGCCCCACATTGGGTATAGAGATTACTTAAAAACAAAAAATCCTTAAAAAAAAACAAGTATTGAACTATAACTTTTCTAAAATAAAAATACAGAATTTATAAGATATAGTATCAATGTCCTAAAGCATCCTTCCAAATACAGAGGTCTTTCCACTCCCTAGATTAACCTATTTGCAATGGAGCCTGCCTAGTTTTGTTATCCCAATGGACTTCCTTTCCTTAGTGAGGGAAACTGTCAGCCAAGGTGGGGTGAAGAATGGCTGTGATAAAGGCATTAGCTAGCAGTAATCACTTTACCCTTTGCAAAGGGCACAGCCACCTGCCAGGGCTGGAACCAGGAAAAGAATCACAACAGTGACTTAGACCTGAATATTCATTTAGCCTGAACTTCTACTACTACTATCTAAATATAGTTTTGTTGTATATCCATTTTAACTCCTATATTCACCTATATTATTTTTCAGAGAACCTTCAAATTATCACAAATGATTTTTAAATGCATATTTCACTCCTCTATTCTTTCCCTTTTGCGGACAAAGGAAAGCAGCAGTCTGACAAGGAAGCAGCAGCAGATGAACCAAGGAATCCGTAAGCCAGAAGAAACAGTAGGCCATATTTACAGCTGAAGCAAATGTGTGGGTTACATCTGGGGATGGACAGTTATGGCTAGGCTCAAAGTTCAATAGATGACACAGACCCACCAAATTTTGAGCAAAGGACTAATACGATCAATACTACACATCTGGATTTGCATTTGGCCTAGAGCAGTGCAGTAGTTCCTTTCCAAATATTTCCCTCCTCTCCCACAGTGGGCCTCATCTCCTGGTGATCATGCCCTTGTCTGATCTCCTCCACTTGAACCTTGAATAGTCCCTCACTTGATTTTAACCAATAGAATGTGACAAAAATGAGGCTATATCACTTACAAGGCTCGCTTCTGCCTTGCGGCTTCAGGCTTTGGGACTTTTAGTATGCTGACTCTGATGAAATTCAGGTCAACGGTTAGGGGCAAGAGCAGACACTAATTAGCTGATGCAAATGAAAATCACTGATACAACCCAGTGACTTAGACCAACTTATTAAAATTGTCCTTTTTTGAGAAGTGGGGATATAGGCTGTCTGTTTGTAACTCTCCATTTGTCTGTGCAATAGATGATGCCCTTTGAGAGTTCTCTTGGGGAAGTTGAGGTGGTCATTGTTATATAGAGTAAACTTGACATAGCTCTTGCCCAGCACAGCTTATGAGCTTAAAACAGATGAGCTCACATCCATAGATATTTATATGAGTCAGAGACCAGAGGACCACAGGCAGAGATAACACATAGCATTACATACTCTTGATTTTTTTCTGTTATTAGAACGGAGCGGGTAGTATACATCAGGTATGCCCAGGTACATATAGGACACTCCTGGATTTTATAAAATCTTCTTTTTAAGATTTTATTTATTTATTTGACGGAGAGAGAGCACAAGCAGGGGGAGCAGCAGGGAGAGGGAGAAGCAGGCTCCCCACTAAGCAAGGAGCCGGATGAAGGGCTCAATCCCAGGACCCTGAGATCACGATCTGAGCCAAAGGCAGACGCTTAACTGACTGAGCCACCCAGGTGCCTCTATAAAATCTTCTTAACGCATACATCACAAGACCTATAGGAAGCACCATTGCTTTTACAGAATTAACCACAGGAACTCTACAGTGGCCCAAACTCTAAAGAGACCAGAGTTTTACTGTTCTTTGAATAAAGCTAGAATTTAATTCAATGAAGCATCTATCACAAGGTGATCTGAGGTAGTAGGTACCAGAATGAACCAGATGATTACTCTACCCACCCAGGTGAATGGATTTTTAACCTGTGTTCTCCTTGCAGGAATCTAAGATTTTCTCCTACAAAGAGTTCCAAAGCCTCCACTCCCTGGATTACCTATTAACCGCAAAAGGGAAAGTAGACTTTATAATGGACTATATAGAGAAATCTGTAGGATAATTCAGATTTCAGTTGATACTGGGGCAACCTAATATTATATATTTAGAAATTAATATTATGTGTTTAATATTTACTACTATGTTCTTCCGGATGGGAAACAATATGAAGAGCACCTCCTAAAGTCTGAAGGATTCTTGACATCTAATCAAACGTCTTTCTCTTCCTTCTAATTTACAGTAAATGTGGGAGCTAGAGAAAAGGTTAAATGATATCAGGAGGAATAAAAAGTCAAACAAATGGAGAGAGCAGAATCCTCTGTCAGGTAACTGTCCTAGACTCTCCAAAAAGTTAATGCCATGAAAACAAACAAACAAAAAAAATGTGTTTGTGTGTGTGGGGGGGGTTGTTCTGCATTAAAAGAGAGGAACATAACAAGTGCAATGCATGAATCTTCATTGGACTATCTTTCTACAAAACCAATGTATGAGACATCTTTTGACAACGGGAGAAATTTGTATATGGGCTAGATATCAGGTTATATTATCACATTATTAAGTTTCTTAGATGTGATTAAGTTTCTTATGCGGTTGCACAGAAGGATGTCTGTCTTTATTTTTAGGAAATGCAGGCTGAAATATTTAGGCGAGAGAAAAAGCAGTTATGGCAAAAGATTAACACTTATTCAACCTTGGAGTAAGTACTTGGATGCTCCCTGAACTATTCTTTCAACTTTCCACGTGGTGATGCTGGAGCCAAGCTGTTCACAGTCCCACAGCCAAGCGGCCTGGATGGGGAACTCTTTTCAGATGGCACTATGCCAGTGGTGTCGGGAGAGGAGAGGAAACATTATTTCTGGATTAATTCAACCACCTCCACCCAAAGACCAGCACGACCAGAAGAACCCATACAGCAACACCCAGCTCCCACGCCTAAAAGCCTCACCACTTCTTCCACTTAGTGAAGGCTCTGGGTAGGACAGACTGAATTCTCCAGACCAAAGAAGAGTTTCGAGATGAATTCCCCGAAAGCGAGAGACTTCCTGGGACTCCTGTTCATACACCAGACCATTGTAACCTGACGTATCCACCCCCAACTCCCTTCATTCTCCATCGATTCTAGAAGAACGCACATTTCTTCTGAGATAATGAACTTCCCGAGGTTTCTTCTCTCCTCAACAGCTCTTTGAGGACTCTAACAAGTAAATCCCTCCAGGACTGCCTCGAGGCCGTGAATTTACGCCGCTAGTAAACAGAGCAAAATCCTGGCCGGAGGTCGGTCACTAAGTTCCCCAGCCTCTGCAAGCCCCAAATGTAAAATGCATACCCTACTCAGAACGCAAGGTGATGGCGAGGATAGACAGGGCGCGCCCAGGAGAGCGCGTACGACTGCGGGCCGAGTGGGGCCGCGCTGCCGGGGCTCAGGGCCCGCGCGTGCGTGCGAGCGAGCAAGGGGGCTCCCGGGCCTCGGCGCGTGGTCTGCGCGCGCCCGGCCGTGCGTGAGGCTGCGGGAGGCTGCGTGTGCGCGCGGGGCGGCAGCGTCGGCAACCTGCCAGGTGGTGTCGGAGCAGGCTTCGTGCCGCGCGCGGGAGGTGAGTGCCAGGCGGGGTCACTGGGGGCGATCCGAAAGCCTTGGAGACCCCAGGGCTGGGTGGCGGGCTTAGCCTTGGGACTAGCTTCTCCGTGGACGGCACCGCCGGGGCGGCGAGGCCGGGAGGCGGGCAGGGCGGTGCCGCCCACTCCGGCCCTCTCCCAGAGCCCCGCCGGGGTGGCGCGGGAGTAGCCGCGCCCAGGGACCACGGCCTCGGTGACGATTAGCTACCGGATCCCGGTGAGCGGGGAAAAAGGGGACCCGGTGGGGCCCTGGGCGACGTTGAGGGGCGCAGGGACGCGTGGAGGGCCCAGGCCGCGGCTGCAAGGAGCACGCTGTCCTGCCTGCTCTGTCTTAGGGCGCAGCCCCGGAATCCCCGTTGCCCTGGGCCGTTCCGGCGACAAACTCGGGGAGCAGCCCGGGGCGCGTTGGCCGCGGCTGCGGGGGGGGGGGGGGGGGGGGGACGGTGTCTCGGTTTTGGTGGATTTCCCAGCAGGCCCGGGGCGAACGCACACCCAAGGCGTTGGGGAAGGGCCTGGGAGTCGGATTGTGGGAGGGTTGTTCTTCATCGGGAGGGATTGTAATGAATATGGACCCAAGGAGGAGAAGGGGCGAATTGGGCAGAGAGAAAAGGAAACCCCAAGGAGCTAGGGCTGTAAGAGGCGATCTTAACGGCATACAGGCATTTTATTTTTTTATTTTATTTTTTTTTTAAAGATTTTATTTATTTATTCATGAGAGACAGAGAGAGAGAGAGAGAGAGGCAGAGGGAGAAGCAGGCTCCCAAGGAGCAGGGAGCCCGATGCGGGACTCGATCCCAGGATCCTGGGATCATGACCTGAGCCGAAGGCAGACGCTTAACCATCTGAGCCACCCAGGCGCCCAGCATACAGGCATTTTAAAAGAAATCTGAAACGTGCAATGGAGCCTCACTTTTCCAAGCAGTAAGGAATGATGCGTTGCATTCCGTATTTCCTTCCTTCTCTTCCACTCCTCTCACTGTTGGACTAGGAGGGAGATTTGCAAGGCAGAGATGGGTTGTTTTTTTTTCTCTCTCTGTATTTTGCACATAGTACCAATGTTTAGGACGTGCTGCTTTGTCAGGAAAAGCTAGTACCAAGGAACAGGTTACCAAACCATATCTTATTTTCTGTTTTCAGACGTAAGGAAGATTTGGGTTTGCAGTCTTCAACTGAGAATAAGTTTGTGTTTTAGCTTTCCCCAGGTGTCTTAGAGGGATGTAGAGAGCTGAGTTTGTGCTCTCAGAATGTGTTGATGCCTGATAAAAGCGCATCTGAACTTTTATCAGTCTAAAGAAGGGAGCTATTTATTAAGAGATAAGAGTCTAAAACATTTTTTTCTTCTAGACTAGAAGGTTCATTCAAATGAATGGTCATTGGGTAATTCCAGCCATGAAAATAAAGCCTGTTATCAAAACAGTGGCCAAATTATAATTCCAGATCGGATGCATGAGGTGATTTAAAAGCAAGGAGGAAGAAGAGAGGACCAAAGCTTTTCCAAAAATGAAGAGAATGTTGATGTATAATAATTTGCTCGGTATAGAGCATTGATTTTAGATGTCATATTGCTCGATGGTGTTGAGTTATGACTTAGATGTATTCTTTTTCTGTTCTTTTGCTCAGTAGTTCACAGCAAATCTTTTAATTAAGCATGGAATATGGAAAACAGCAGAAAAACTTCTGCTAGTGCTTTAATCTCATCTGAAATTCTATGGGTAAGTTCATCTTATTTTAATTTAGAAATTATCCTGACTGGTTAAAATTGACTGTAATAGTCTCCTTTATAAGATTTTAAGGATCATTTACACAGCTACAAATTCTGTTGTATATTCTGGTATATCTTTTTTCCCTGAAGGATTTGAGGGTTGTAAGAGTTAAGCTTTACTAAACCATTTTGGATGATACATGTATTTCTAAAAATTGGATTATTATTAAAATACCGTGATAACTCAGGAAAAGTTAACTATGTAAACTTAATTTGGTGGCCATATTCAACCTCAGACTCCACTCTCTTTATTCCTTTATTTATTTATTTGATAGAGACAGACACAGCGAGAGAGGGAACACAAGCAGGGGGAGTGGGAGAGGAAGAAGCAGGCTTCCAGGTGAGCAGGGAGCCTGATGTGGGGCTCGATCCTAGGACCCTGGGATCATGACCTGAGCCGAAGGCAGACGTTTTAACGACTGAGCCACCCAGGCACCCCTCACTCTCTTTATTCCTAAGAAAATACTCCAGTGGATACTTTTTCCTCTGTTCATATCCCTTGAAATGATTTCTGTGCCCAGTCTGCAGCTCTGTTCTTTCCTTCATTGGGTGATGCGGGTAGAATCCCATTTGAAAAAGTGCCTTTATCCCATTCACAGCCATATAATGTTGAGGCCAAATACACTTTTCTTTTGCAGTTCTAACAGTTGTCATTGCTCATCCTTGCTCACTGTGTGGTAACCACACTGTACAACTGCATGAATGAGGTCAAATGTGGGAAGTCAAATAGGATGCTCTTAAATGGCCTTGTACAGCAGATGCATTCAAAAGTTGCAGTTCATTTGATAGCATTTCTTTTGCAAATATCTCTTTTGGGACTGTGAACAATGGTTTTATTTCAGTAAAAAGTTGCCTATTATGAATATTGATTTGCTTTTGGCACCAGAGTTTTGGGTATGTTGTGAATTAGATGAGAGGGGATGGTGAGGGTATGTGCAGGAAGCATAGTGATTTGTAGGTGGTTTGTCTAAATGAGGGGAAGATGAAGCCACAGAACATCCCAATGGTGAGGCCCTGAGACGCTGCCCGATGGAAGATTTGGCTAGGGAGATAACTTGTAACCCTTGAAGCTCTGAGAAGTGAGGGAGTAAAGCCGGAAAGCCAGAGTAGATTATTAATTTTTCATTTTATGTGTTTCTGACCCTGAATTAGTGAGGATGCCAGGCCTTTTGTTGTCCCCATAGAGCATCCATAGCCTAGCTTAATACTATTCAGCCCTGTCTACCCTCCGGGAACCATGTTATATGGGAACATGTTACCACCACTAGGATCCCCTCTTCAGTAATAAGGAAACACAGAGAAGAAAGATTTTTAGGAGATTGAGATTTTCTTTTTTTTTTAGTAGGCTCCATGCCCAGTGTAGGGCTTGAACTCATGACCCTGAGATCAAGAGTCACATGCTCTACTGACTGAGCCAGACAGGCACCCCAGGAAATTGAGATTTTCTTGATATTCTAAGGTACACCATTTCATGGGGCTAGAACACCTCCAGACCAGCAGCCTGTTTGGTAAATAAAGGTTTTTGGAGCATAGCCACATCTGTTTGCTTAATATAATCTATAGCTCCATTTTTCCTACAAAGACAGAATCAAGTGGCTGGGATAGAGACTGTATGGCCCACAAAGAAAATGTTTGCTATCTGCCCTTTTATTAAAAAATTTTTTTTGCCACTCCTGGACTAGAACATAGAATTCTGCTAAACTCCCAAGGTGTGCGTTTTGTACAGGCATTTTTAAGTTAGCATAAAGCACTATAGTTGGCTCCTATTTTGTAACAGACTTTGTTTTCAAGGATGGAGATACCTCCTTTCTAAGAGAAAAAACTCTTATCAGCTCTTCTGTCTTAATGTTAAATAGTTCCTTTCTCTAAACTGATAACAGGTTCTGTAATTTGCATTTTTATCAAGCATCTGCACTTTCTGAGAGTGCAAAGTCAGTTCCCTGCCATGGACCCTGACCACACATTTAGAGACACTTGAGCTGGGAGGTCTCCCTCCCATCTTCTCCAGGTGGATTTTACCCATAATGTTCAGTCTGAACCTTGGAATCCTCAGCCTTCCTCCATGCTCTGCATGGTGTCAACAACTTGAGGGCAAGGCAGGGTTCTTTTTCCCCATGGCAGCCCCAGCCTCTAACTCAGGTCTGGCATGTCGAATGAAGAAATGATAACTAAGGAAAAGGTAATTGGTGACTTAGCCTAACAGACAAGAATGACAAAGATATGTAACATTCCTAACTGAGGGCAACAATGAGAAGAAATATTAACTAGAGCGGCTTCCCCTGTTCTTTTCCTCCAATAGGTAAAACTGTTTATAACAAAACAGAGACAGGAAGCCCAGCTTTCAAGCCAGCCTTCCTACTGTTCTGCCTGACTTGTGTGATCTTTGCTCTGCTCCAGTTTTCCTAGCTTCTCTCCAGACCCAGTCATCTCGTTGCCTCTTCCCCCGGGCTGTTCTGTCATGTGGCTCTTTCAGACTGCTCACCCCTGAGTGCAGAGGTACACCCACTTTTGCTCTGTTTGGGTGTTTTGGTCAGTATGGTATTCTCACAGTCCAGCACGAGCCCAAAAGCTATGGAAAACACATGGGTTATGAGGGATCAGCCAGTTTTGAAACCAGTGAGGCACCAGCACTGGGCTCACTTGTCTACTTTTTTCAGAAAGACCATTCAGTGCCCTGCCCTCTTCAGAGAAACTTAATTCTTGTGAATTATCTAAGGCTTCCCTTGATCTTCAGGTGAAGGAACCTTTTGAATATGGAGATGAGTTAGTCAGACAAGTGCTCTGAATTTCTGCTGGCCCCTGATGGTCATTGCCTTTGTGTCGGAGTGTTTGCTAATTTTTACTGAAGCTCAGTAATTTATTCAGGGTTATTTGGAATATAAACTCGTTAATGTTCTTCTTATCAGCAGTTCCTCTTTTTCTGAGAAGTGTATGTGAAGGGAACACTAGTTGGATCTTGTCTGGATGAGAATTAGAGCATGATCTGCTTGGAAATTGAACAGTGTTTGCACATAGGATTCCTCTGTTTTTTAAGTTTCTGGGGTAGCTTTGACAGCTCTTCACCCTGAGGAAGGTCAGAGGTGCTGCACTATGTGGAAGAAAGCTTGAAGATGCCGACGAGATTAACACAGATTAGGGAAGGCGCCTAGTGAGGCGGCGGTTGTGGGCCCCACTCGGGATGAGGGGTCCGGGATCCCCAGCCCTGCTTGCTGCCTGTGAGACCCTGACTCGTGGTCAGGTCTGCACGTCTCGGTCTCCTCAACTGGAGAATAAATGCTGTGGTAGTAGTGCATACCTCACAGATTATTTTAGCCGACAAATAGTGGAGTGTGGAGAGCACTTCCTACAGTGCTAGGACCAAGCAGGGGCTTTTGCTAAAAGTATGCAGAGAGGGGAATATGAAGAAATTGGATTAAGTAGAAAGCAAGGTTTTTTTTTTTAACATTAACTTTGCCCCAACAGAGTAAAGTGTATCTCATTCTTAAGTGTTATTAATTCGGCAAGTAACGCGGTTCCAGTTCATCCATGCAGTAAATACAATTTGATTCTCTAGTATACGTCCAGCTGTGCTTCAGAGTAAGAGGGAAGAGTGTAAGCTTTATCAGATAGGCACAAGCCTTAAAATAATTTGATGCCACTCGAATATTTCACACCTCAGTTTGAAAAGGTTAATGTATTTTGTAATTCTCCACCAGATGCCAGAAATGCCTGTTGTAGGACTTTTGAGAGTTCCAATCATTCCCAGTTACGGGAAGATCAGGGGGCAGGAGGAAGATCACAGGAGAGGGGAGCTTGTGTGGAAGAGGAACTGAGAAATGTCGCATTTGGCATGTGAACCTCTACTAGTAGTTCCTGTGGGCTTATATGTTCAGGGTGGCAGAACGTTAGCAACTTTAAGATGCTAGAGGAAACATCATCTTTGGATTCTAAAAGGGAGCTTATCGGGGTGCCTGGCTGGCTCAGTCAGTAGAGCATGTGACTCTTGATCTCAGGGTCGTGAGTTCAAGCCCTATGTTGGGTAGGGAGCCCACTAAAAGAAAAAAAGAAAACTTACTGATTTGGAGGGAGAATGTGGATAAACTAGGATTTATTTGCATGTCTACATGTGCTGTAGACCATATGGTGTCCTATAAGAGACATTGGGAGCTGCTGCAGGGTCTGTAAATGGGACAAATGTAAGCAAATAAGAATACGTTAGAGGACCGTGTAGTGGACTTTAATAAATAATAATAGCAGTGCCATCTACTTAGTTCTTACTGCATGCCAGCCCCATCCTAAATGTTCAACATGTGTTGTTTCATGAAACGGAGTTTCTGATTCACTGCGATCAGATGGGGTTGGGCCTGAGGCTCTGCATTTCTAGCAAGCTCCCAGGTGGTGCCCAGGCACTGCACTTGGAATAGTGAGGTCTAAAGCAGCACATTGGAATCACCTAGAAAACTTTTAAAGATACTGCCATGGGGACCTCACTGCGCTCTGCAACTCTCATTCAGTTAGTCCCGGGTACAGCCGGGCTTCCAGAGGTTTTCAAGTTCTCCAAGAGCTTATAATAGACAGCCAAGTTTAAGAACCACTGGGTCCAGAAAGAAAAGGAAAGAGAGAGGTAGTGACCAGGCATCACTGGTTTTGTTTGTTTCTAACATAAACAGAGGAGGTCAGAATGGTAGAGTTTTATATTGCTTTGTTTATGAATTAATATGTTCAATTGCAGAGGGAGCTAGTAGGGAAATTTTCTTCATGATGCGTATTGATATGTGTATGTCTCCCTCTATAAGAAATAGGACATGACTGATGTGTGTAATTATGATTTGTACTAAACTCAGTGTGCACAGGGCTTGTTGGGGCTATTAGGATTTCTACCCTTTGCACCTACTGTTTTTTTATGTGGAAGAAGAGTCATAATTTGCACAACTGGTGGTACTTTTATAATTACCTTTAATGATAGCACAC